TATATATATATATATATATATATGTGTTTATGTGTGTATATATATATATATGTATATATATATATATATGTATATATATATATATATATATATATATATATATATATATGTGTTTATGTGTGTATATATATATATGATGCTGTCATGCTGTTCCATCCCAGTGGCTCACTCATGAACCATGACATTGACCTTTTCTCTCTAGCCCTGCTAGAGAAACAAAAGGTCACTAATCTGGGGGTGATAGTGATAATAAACTCAACAGTCACGTAAACATATATGTATGTATTTCCTTTTGGAAAATATACATTTTTAAAACTTCTAGAAAATGAAAAAGTATTTTTAGGTGTATTTTACTTGTGTGCGCTTCCACTCAGGCGAAAGAGAAGTACGAGAAGGCTCTGGAGGAGCTTGGTAAGTGCACCCCACAGTACATGGAAAACATGGAGTTGGTGTTCGACCAGTGTCAGCAGTTTGAGGAGAAGAGGCTGAGCTTCCTCAGGGAGATGCTGCTGGATATCAAACGCCACCTGAACCTCACAGAGAACCAAAGGTTGGTGGAGTCTGACACTGTTTGCATGTGTATACAGCCATCAGGTGCTCCAACTGCACATGCTCATTTCCTCCTGTTTGTTCACAGTTATGCCACAATATACAGAGATCTTGAACGAACCATTGCCTCAGCCTCCCCTCAAGAGGATTTGAAGTGGTTCAGTAACGTCCACGGCCCAGGGATGCACATGAACTGGCCAAAGTTTGAGGTGAACTTGTTAATTTGTTTCCTAGTCTATATAATTTATTTATCTTTTTTACATTTTATTTTATAAAATTATTATAAAGCTATCTTAAATACAACTATAATTACAAGAAGTTCTTACTCAGGTCCAAGCTACTTGACGCATATTGAACCTGGCTAATTTCATCCCCAGAACTCCTTCAACCTTGTGTACAGCAGATTTGGAATTTGATAAGGAGAAAATACAAGGTCTTAATGAGGGCCTGTTGTCTCATCAGCTTTTTATTTTTAACCAAAGCCTTAATTATCTTTCTTCTTCTTTATGTTATTTAATTTGCATAGGTCTCTACATAATCCTCCATCTCACTGTGTCCTCACTCCAACTACCTCCATGTCCTCTCGAACTACATCCATATATCTCCTCTTTGGCCTTCCTCTTTGTCTTTTTCCTGGCAGCTGCATTTCTGACATCCTTCTACCAATATACCCATTGTCCCTCCTCTGGACATGTCCAAACAATCTCAGTCTGGCCTCTCTAACTTTATCTCCCAGTTGTTCAACCTTTTCTGTACATCTGATGATCTCATTCCTAAACTTCTCCATCCTTGTCACTCCTAAGGAGAACCTCATTTTCAACTGTGCCACATCCAGTTCTGTCTCCTGTCTTTTTGTCAGTCCCACAGGTCATATTGCTCTTTTGTAATTGTTTTTTTCTTTTTTCTTTTAACCTTTGCTGCAACTCTTTTGTCACAAATAACTCCTGAAACTTTTCGCCATCCACTCCATCCTGTCTGGACTCTTTTCTTCACCTCTTTACCACACTCCCCATTTTCCTGGACAGGGGACCCCAAGTACTTGAAGTCCTGCACCTTTGTGATTTCTGCTCCTTGTAGCCTCACTGTTCCACCTGCCTCCCTCTCACTCACACACATGTACTTTGTCTTACTACGGCTGACTCATTTCTCTTCTTTCAAGTGCATACCTCCACCTCTCCAAGTTCTCTTCCACCTATTCCCTGTTCTCACCACAGATCACAATGTCATCTGCAAACAGTAGTCCATGGGGATTCTTGCCTGACCTCATCTGTTAGTCGGTCCATCACCAGAGCCAACAAGAAGGGGCTCAGAGCCGATCCTTGATGCACTCCCTCCTCCACCTTGAAGCTATCTGTCACTCCTACAGCACATCTCACCGCTGTCCTGCTGTCCCCATACATGTCCTGTACCAGTCCAACATACTTCTCTGCCACTCCAGATTTCCTCATTCAATACCACACCTCCTCCTTCGGCATCCTGTCATATGCTTTTTCGAAATCCACAAAGACACAATGGAGTTCTTTCTGACCCTCTCTGTACTTCTCCATCAGCATCCTCAAAACAAAGATAGCATCTGTGGTGTGTTTTCTTGATATGAAACCATACTGCTGCTCACAAACTGTCACCTCTCATCTAATAGCTTCCACAACTTTCTCCCAGATCTTCATCGTGTGACTCATCAACTTAGTTCCCTTGTAGTTGCTACAAATCTGTACATCACCCTTGTTCTTAAAAATGGGCACCAGAACTTCTCCTCCATTCCTCAGTCATTTTCTCACCCTCAAATTTATCATTGAATATTTCAGTTAAAAACCTCACTGCCATCTCTCCAAGACATTGCCAAACTTCCACTCGTATGTCATCAGGTCCTACTGCCTTCCCCTTCTTCATTCTTTTCAGAGCTTTCTGGACTTCACCCTCATTAACCTTTCCTTAATCTACTCCTGCTTGTAGTGGTATATGGGGTGTAATATTGTTTATCAGTTATGTGTTAAGCTCATAATCTCTCGTTGGGACACCACCTACATATAGGAACTTAAATCAAGTCTAATCGGGTCTCTTTTAAACCCCAAAATGTCAACGTGAATTATTTCTCGTGTATAAAGAGATAATTTCAGTTAAGCACGCACAGATTAATAATGACCAGATTCAGTTTTGATTTTTATGCATTTTATTAAAAAATATCTATAATCTATAATATATGAATTATAAACATACTGGATATCAAATGACTTTGAGTAAAGGTCTAATTGATTATTAAAATTAAAGAAACTAGAAGTGAGCTAGGTTTTAAGTTTACTGTTTAGTTGTTGTAAGATCACTGTGATCACCAGAAAAGCACTGAAGGGTTTTCTCCTACCGAGATGTGACAGTTCCTACTTGAGTCCAGGACAGGTGCGTTGGACTGAACAGAGTTACTCAGAGATAGACGTTTCTCCAAGTTGACCTGAAAGTGTTTAGGAAAGGTAGATTGTCCACCTGCTTCTGGCTCTGTAGTAAACTGGCTCTCAGCAGGACGCTGACATTATTTCAGCCTGGTTATGGTCAAGCCTGGTACTGGTTGCGGTCCAGACTGGTTCTGGACATCCTTCATCTCTGTTCTGTGCAGGAAGTCAAGTGCTGGGTTCTGCTGAGTTGCTGCAGTCCTGGAACTCCTCATCAGCTGTTGTTAATTTTCCTTGAAAGCTTGGTTTGAAAGTTAAATAAAACTCAACTTTTAAAAGTTAGAAATCCTCATCCTGTCTTTCATCTCTCTTTTCTTCTCCTTCGAAGCGTCTTCTGAGAAGCTGAAACTTAAATGAACTGCAACAAAACTGTGGTAAAACAGACTGATGATTGGTTCAATCGCGAGAAAATGGGCATTGCTGTTAACTTCTTATCCAATCAGTGTCAGTTCTGAAACTTGGGGGTTTTTTTTGTTTCTCATAAAGGAACTTATAATTTAATCAAAAATCCTTATTTCTGCCTTAAAGTTCTATTCCAAACAAAAGAAATAAGACAAAGTCATATTATCTTAAAGATTATTACTTAAAACACGCATTTCTCATGAGCATTAACATGAAAATGACATTGAAATTACATTTTTGGATTAATATTCAAATATGCAATGTTTTTAACAGAGGTGGCACTGTTGAATCGTAGATCTCCTGGAATAGGAAGGTCAAGTTGAACAAAGAACTTTTATGGTCCAACAATTTTCAGTCAGGTCATCTGGACAGTTTCTTTTTTGTTGTTGTTGTTTTTTAAAATGTTTCACCTTCCATCCAGAAGGCTTCATCAGTCAAGGAAACACACAACACAAAACTGATTCTTCCTCCAAACAGCTTACGCCAAAGTGGAACAAACCAGTTATGTTAATGCTAAGATGGTGTCTTTGGCATACCCCCTCCTCTGGAGCCGGCCCTCTTCCTTGTCGACATGTCAAACTGGTTCAAAACCAAAACAGTCCATGCTCAGTAATCCAGGTATACAACTTATTATGGTGTTATCTTCATGGGAACGAGTCTTAAGAAAAGTACTCCTTTTCCGCACTGACGCAAAGAGATATCAAACATTTGCTTGAACAATTCAAACTGTCTCAAGTTCATATAAAAATCTCATAGAAAATATTTCTCAGTTTCATAAGAAGGCCTTGGGCTAGTGAGTTCATGTTTGGCAGGTGAAAAAAAAAGTTAATACAGAATAACTTTTTACATTAGTGTCAACTTAGGAGGTTGTGAGCTGAAATAAAGAATATTTTCATAAAATATGACGTCTGTTCCCACAGAATGGACAAATATCTTATTTTAAAAGTTTCAGCACAAAACATAGTACGTTTCTCAAGGTGAAGTGTGGTGTGGCTCTACATGCTTCTTCTCTTATAGGTCATTCTATGTTCCTCCCTCTTTTGGAAATAATTTATTATTTTATTTTATTAACCTTTATTTAACCAGGCAAATCCTATTGAGATCACAGATCTCTTTTACAAGGGAGGCCTGGGCCTAAAGACAGCCTAACATGCATGTTTTTGGTCTGTGGGAGGAAACCGGAGTACCCGGAGAAAATCCACTCAAGCACGAGAAGAACATGCAAACTCCACACAGAAAAACCCCAGGTTCAATTGGACCCAGGACCTTCTTGCTGTGAGGCAACAGTACTAACCACTGAGCTGTCGTGCTGCCTAATAAGTGTTGACTACAGACATTTCCATTGTCTTGGCAAAATCCACCACCATCTGTCATTCCTGGTTTTTTTCCTTAACACCAAACCTACTCATCACTTCTTCATCCCCTCTGTTTCCTTCACCATCATGTCTATTCAGGTCTGCTCCGATCACTCTCTCCTCCCTGGGAATACTCTCCTTCACATCACATCCACCCTGTGGAGCATAACCACTGACAACATTTAGCATCAGACCTTCTACTTCTACCTTAGACACAGCACCCTATCTGACACTCTTTTCCCCTCTACTACATTTTAGTCCTCCTTCAGGACCACCCTTACTCCATTTTTCTTTCTATCCACACATACATCTGTAAAAGTATTTTACATCGGATCCACTTCCTCACACAATCCTCACCATTTACCCGGGCTTGGGACAGGTTTCCGGGCTGATGGCGTGCTGAACGGACGCATCACTCAGAGTTCTTAAATGAGTCCCGATGTTAAAAGAGATTTAAAGTAATTTCCACAAGAAATACAGCTGCTCGACTTCAGTTACAAAGATGAGCCAACGAAAAGACCCACAAACTTCTAAAAAAGGGCTTTTTAAATCTACTCCGAGTCGTCAGTCGGAAGGCTCGGAGCACAGCTACGCAGAGCCAATGGAGGCGGCTAATGCTAATAGCAAATGAGACAGAGGAGCCACCACACCAACAAATACACCTGGAAAGAAACAAGTGGAAAAGAAAATGAAAGGTACCGGTGATGAGGAGGAGGTCTCGGAGAAGGCAGTCGGGACCATCCTTTGTGCATTAGAGGCTTTGGGAACGCGTGTTGAAACTTTGGGAGCTCGTGTTGATGACCGCCTGGAGGGCATTAGCGGCCAGCTACAACAACACAGCTCCATGCTAGCATCAATAGCTAAAACGGTGCAACTGAACTCTGAGGATATTCAAGAGTGTAAAAACAAAGTTAAAAGCTTGGAGACGCAAGTCGAGCTTCTTCAAAAGGAAAAGGAGGAAATGAAGGAACGTTTGGTGGGTCAAGAAAGATATAAAAGAAGATGGTG